CAGGACCATTTTAGATCAACTACTGTAGATGAAAGTTGATTAAACATGGATCTAAGAAATACACTTTCCTCTCTACATTAATATAAATGTTAACCCAAAATCTTTTGAAGTCCAAAGACATGCATTTTAAGGCGTCACAGGTGCGCTCCTGACAGAAAGGCTGTTCCAAGAGTTTGGTAGCAACATCGTTGGCTTCTAAATACACATTCTAAGGTCGCTTCACATTCAGAAAAGAGCTTCAGAAATAAGAAAATCCTTCAATTTTTATATACAAAACGTGTAACACAAGGCCGCTAGATTTAATTACATGACCAACTTTATGACACGTTGAAGGCTGTCCTCATGAATGCCCACACAAGGAAATAAAACGCTCAAGTTTAAGGAAATGTCATAACACCGCACTAGTCCATTTTCCCCGTTTCTTCTGCAATACTCAAGGATTTGCTCTCTTTGTCCATTTCATTGAATGTGCAGTCGAACTGTAATGGTTTAACCATCCAAACAAGTGAACAAAACACTTGAGTTGAAGGAAAAACAGGTCCAAACGGCCTGTGAATGCACTTGCTATTAGAGCAGAGCAGAAGAAGAGAGGCCACCTCAGGGAAAAAAGGTCTGAATTTAGATATTGTGCACAAATCTAATAAGATGCCAAAAACAGATGAGAAAACTAATGCAACTGTTGTTGCATTAGTTTAAGTCACAGATGAAGATTTATCAAGCACTCGTGCTTTAAAAAAAAAAAAGAAAAACCCTTAATGAAGCATGAAGTAACATTGGACGCTCGTACCTTCACGTGTCCCTCCTTGGCCTCCCCGTACTGCACATGCTTTCTCAGGTGGTTGCAGATGGCCCGGAGGGTGGAGTGGACCTCCACGCAGAAGTTGCACCTGTAGCCGATGGGAGTCTTATCGGGGGTGCCATCCACCTATAGGAAGAGCCAATGACGACAGAAGATCATTCGATGCAATCTAGTTTTGTTCTGTCACTTGCAACTAGAACTAATGAAGCTGAAAATTATGTCGCCAGTGTTGCCTGCTTGCAATATACTTGTTTGCATATGGTGGTCGAGGTTAAATCCAAATGTAAAAGCTACACTAACACCTAAAACATCTTTTGCTGTTATTCTACTTCCTATGTTCCTAACGCAATCAGAACAATGCTAGAGAAAATCACACAGAATACAGTTTTGAAAGTTAGTCAGGGCCCGTATTTATCAAGCCTCTGAGAATTACAAAAACACTGCTAGAAATTGACTTAAGAGTAAAAAAAATTCTTGGCTCAAAGCTGCGATTAAAAGTTAGTGATCAAGCATCTCAGTCGTAATTTAAGTGAAATGTAGGAGAAAATCTTAAGTGTCAGTCTTCGAGATGATTCAAGACACTTTGCTGTGCCCCAAACGGGATTTTGGATGACGACATAGACATGGACCAATCACTGAATTTTCTGAAGAATAAAATAGCACTTTGAGAAGCTTGATAAATACGGGCCCGGGTTTTTCAACTATTATAACCACTTTTACCCATTACAAGGTGTTTAAGCTCACCTTATTTTCCGGTTTGGCTTCTGGCGGCTCTGTCGTCCTCTGCTTGCTTTGAAGCTGTTTTCTTCGTTCAAGCCTCATGGCTCTTTTCTGGAAATCCTCATTGTGGTTTATCAGATGGACGCAGAGTTCTGGAAGAGTCAAGAATTTGATTTCACAGTGGGTGCACTGGTAGAGCTCCATCCCATCTTCTGCGGGGCTCGGAATGGTGACGAAATCCCGCTTGAGCTCCTTGTCGTGGCAGTCATTGTAATGCACCACGAGCAGCTCGGCCGCGCTGAACGAAAGCTTGAAGCATTTCAGGCATTTAAAGGGGAGCCAGTCCACGTCACCTTCAGGTTCCACCTCATCCTTAACTTCAACGATTTCCACCTCCTCCGTAGATGGAGGTTTCTCGGCCTCCTTGGAATAGATCACAGTGAAGTAACGGCCCAGTTTGCTGGAGGGCTGCTTCTTGGGAAAGACTCCTGGGTGGCGCTTTATGTAATGAGAAACAATACTCTTTCTGCTGAAAGCCTGGAAGGAGCAGAGTGAACATTTCCTTCGGTCCACCGCAAGCCTTAGCTCTTCGCTCATCGCTGGAGCCTCTGCCTCTGATGCCAAGGGCACCATCACCTTGTTCGGTTTCTCCCCCACCGTCTTGGATGCTGCCAAGCAATGCGTGTAGTAGGCATCAATGTCATGCCGTTTCTGGTAGTGTGCTGCGAGGCCTTTGCGGATGGGGTTGGTGTAGGAACAGAGGGCACATTTAAAGACATTGTTCTTCCCTTCGGGCTGCGCTCTGACATTGTTATGCTTGATACGGTAGTGACGAGCGATACCTTTCCGGGTGGAGCAGAAGTATTTGCACAGCTGACATTTAAACAATGCATGCTTGTCGCTCTTCGCGACTTCGGGAAGCTTGAGGTCAAAGTCACAGGCCTCTGAGACTTCGGTCACACTGCTGCTGCTGCATTCAGCAACCGAATTGTCTCTTCTGGTCTGCGACTGCATGGCAGTTGCTTTGAACATGTCTGCGGCAGACTGGTTATGATATTTCTCATAGTGTATCTTGAGTTTCTCTAAAGTGCCATGTGTGTAAGGGCACAACTTGCAGCGGTAAGCACCGTAGCCCTGCCTCTGGGTTTTAGATCGCTCATCCCCCTCGTTAACCAACTCGTTTACCTGCTCGACATCATTGGCAAAGTCTTCAGCCGTGACTTTGATGGAAGGATGTCGTTTCTGGTAGTGTGTGAGAACTCCATGGATGCGCGAGTTCACGTACGGACATTGTCTGCACTTGTAAACAGAGCTAGGGTTGATGTCTGCCTCCTGAGCGAAGTCAGCAGCTTTCACTTTCATGCCCGGGTGTTTTTTGCCATAGTGGGTCAGAAGCCCATGAAGACTGTTGTACTCAGACAAGCACACGGTGCACTGGTAAGAGTTGTTTGAGATAGACGACGCGACAGACAGAGAGAGATTAGTCTGTCGCTCATGTGTTGGGCGGCTGACTTCAACTGCAGCCTCTTCCTGCTGGTTGCTGTTGAATGGACTGGACATGGAAACGTGTCCTTTGGGCGGTTGTGGGAGCAGCTTATCAGGTGCTTGGTTTCCCTTGATAATGTCGAGCAGGACAGACTCGTCACCTTTGATGGCCCAAGGGTGCACCGCTTGGTAATGGTTAGTAATATCCCAGATGGAGCATGCCTCAAAGGCACAATCTCTGCATTGGTAATGCTTCGTTTCAGAGTTCCCAGCTTGTCTGCTGGTAGAAGTATCAGGACCAGCCCATAGTTTGCTGGCCATGTAGGTGTAGTCAACATTGTGCTCAGGATGGCGTCTTTGGTAATGCATGAGCAGCCCGCTTGGTTCAGCGTGAGAATATATGCACCACTCACAGTGATAACCAGCCTCCAACACACTGTCCTGATAAGCCCAGTGTAAGATCGTCATGGCCGTGGCCTTCAC